TTTTGCACACATTGTTTCTTGTAAATTAAAAGATGAATTTACTATGAATACTCTGGCTATAAAATTTTGACAATAAATATTATATTTTCCATAAACCAATGCATGTTTACATGCATATAAGCTACTGACTCGTTATTCATTCCAACTGATTGCATCGATGGTAGCTAGGACCATCCGTATTGCAAATCATTGTCTTAAAATATCAAACCGTCCAGATGCGAAATCCAACCATACTAAACGAGATTGTTGCAGAAATGTGATCAAATTTATCCATGCATTTTGTTTCTCTTGGTGTTTTTTTAATTGGCACAATTTTCAAGACCTATACACTTAATATCACTTTTGACGAGTTATCAACCTTGTGTATATGTGTACTCGAAACCAAAGTTTCCTGTTGAGTTCAAGACAGTGCTGAGGCAGAGCCCTGTCGGAAACTACATTCCATTCTGTCATGTAAAGCTTGGATGGCAAAAACATGATGAGTAAATTTATATATCTTACCCAAACCTTAATTTCTAATGCTTAATCTCCTTATTCAGGTGTTCGAATCTGTCCAAAGTGACAGATCGGGCCAGACCATCTGTCACGTGCATGTTACTGATGCGGATAGTGAACTCGATCAGATCGACTGTTCCATCGAGTCGAGCCATCGTGACTTTCTGCTGCATCCAATCTCTCGTGCTGGTGGCAGTAGTCTGCAGCAGCGCAGTCGGATCTACGAAATAGTCTCGGCCAGTCCGCTAGACCGCGAGACCACCGCTCGTCACCGTATCCGGGTTCGTTGTCAAGACGGCACTTCGCCCAGCCGACTTGTCGGTCAGAACATGGTACATGTGCTGGTGCGCGACATCAACGACCAGGCGCCCAGATTCACTGCTGTACATTACACTGGCCGAGTGCGTGAAAACGCCGCCAACTCGATGGTCAAGATGCTGCCGACCGTCGGCTCGAGCCAGACGTCGCTACAGACGTCTACAGGCGCGGGTATGTCTACGGGAGGCATCGGTACTGCCGGAATGGCTGGTCGGAATGCAGGCGCAAAGTCGCTCGCCTCGACAGGGACCCAGCTCGGCATCCGAGCCGTGGACGCTGATGCGGAAGAGAATGCGGTCATTCTCTACTCGCTGACGCTTTGGCCGTCGCCGCCGGACACACAATCGGTCCAAGCAGGAGGATCACACGAGGCAACGGAACAGACACAATTGGTTCACACTTCCGAGGCTGTGGAGCAGCAGTCGACGAGAGGAGGCGGAAAACGCCAGCCTGGAGGTGCGGGTGACGTTGACAAGTTCTACATTGAACCGGAGACTGGACAACTCAGGACTCGAGTGCCCCTCGATTTTGAGGAACAGGAAATCTACCAATTCCTGGTGGTGGCCACGGATCAAGCAAAGGACCCAGAGAAGCGTCTAAATGCCACTGCTCGCGTCACAGTAGAGGTAGAATGTGGAAAAATGCCGCTATTTTTGCTTAATTTGAGCATTATAAGCTTTGAGCACTCTTAATTAATGGGTATATTCCACCGGAACTTTGAAGGCAACATCTCAAAACTGGTTAAGGTCGCGTTGAAACTGTACATTTTAGAAGAATTTATGAAAAAAATAAGAGGCGTTCACCATATTTCGTTTAAGGAGATGAAAGACTGATAGTTAAATGTTTTCACAGTTATATGAATAGACCCTATGATTCCAGTTAATTTCCCACAGCCTTGCTTCACAAAAATATTATCATCTAAGCTGAGATTAACTTTTGTGAGCATTGCTATGCAAAATTCACTAGACACGCAGGGTCTACTCATCTCATTCTGAATTTTGGCGGACACATTTCATACATCTGATTGCCTGGCAGTCCCGAAACCCTACTTACAAACAAAGAATATTTATAATAAGCTCCAATAATTCGATCTAGTATTTGCGTTTCTCTGAATTGCCAATACTTTGGAAGAATTATTTTTTCTTAGCTAACTGTAATTATTCCGACATTAGCTAGGAATTCTGCAATTAATAGAATAAAAAAAACTTCAATGATACTCTAAGTAACAACCTTCATTCTACTGAGCTAAGTTTACATATAATTTGACGAGTTGATTTTCTCATAAATTCATCGGTCCAGGGTGCCCTGAGACCTTTCCAAGATAAATATGAAGAGAATTCTCACGAAATATAATCAGCAAAATAATATAGCTATATAATACAATAATAAAATACTATAATAATAATAGTACAATTATAATAAAATGTAATAGTAGAATTTAGGAACTTTATTTTAATTAAAAATTTCAGTTCCACCTTCAAACTAGTTACCAACCTCATAAAAAATTGCATTATTAATTTTCATTTTTATAGTCTCATGTCCTGTTTTTGCCCTTGAGCAGTTCTGCTATGACTCAGAGTTGCGAAGGAATAAAAAGCTCGCGAATAATCTGTCCGTCTTGAATGATAGCATTTCTATGTTAAGAAATTGTGGGGTTCGAGGAACCTCTTAGTTCAGAATTAGAAGGCTTACTTCCGTTCTAAGGTAGAGTTTTCCCTTAAGCAATTCCAAGTTTGATCACACCAGAAGATGACATCTGATTCCACTTTATCGGCGATACTGGAATATTCTTGATGATGCTGCTTCCGAGGCAATCTTCTTGGATTCCGGTGAAAGCGTACAAAGCTTTCGTCCGTCATACGAATGACGAAGGTGTTGAGATCGACCTTAGAATCATTTCACCAAACACTTTACTTGGAATGATAGTAGGATCAAGAATAAGACTAATTAATTATAGTAAATTGTAAATTGAGGGGCTAACGAGGGTATGTAAAATTAAAACTATAATTTTAAACAAATTTTATTTTCATTTTATGAGAATATAATAATTACTTTTCTAGCATCCTTTTTCTGAACGACAAATTATCTTTAGTTTTCTTTTTTTACAAATTAGAGTTTCAAGACTACCAGAAAATCAGACTGGAGGTGGAATTTTCCCCCCAATGATATGAGTAGCGCCGACACTTACATTGAATTTCACATAGCCTTGGTTTCCCAAAAGGTGGTCCAATCCAGGATGAACTGCAGTTTCAGCCTCGCCTACATCTTCACAACGCTCCAAGCCGGACTCGAAACATGGCATTACAAGGCATAGTATCGCCAAGTTGACCTCTACGCCACATTGCTACGAGTATCTTTGGATTACAGGGCATATATGAATTCAAAGGAATGCTAGGCATTTAGTGATATAATATATTTTGTTGGGATTGTCGATGAAGCAAAGTTATAATTG